TTTTTTTTAAATCTAAGCTGGAGTAAACAGATAAGGCTGCCCCAGAGCTGAGGGTAGCAAAATGACTGGAAAGCTCTAACAACTGACATTAAAAATGGGGGAAAACCGGGATGCCTGGGAGGCTGTCGGTTAATTGTTTGCCTTCAGCTCAGGTCATGATCCCAGCCTCCTGGGATCAAGCCCCATGTCAGCCTCCCTGCCCAGTGGGGAGTCTGCTTCTCCTTCTGCCCCTCCCCCTGCCCATGCTCTCTCTCTCTCAAATAAATATATAAAATCTTAAAAAAGAAAATGGGGGAAAACTACTTTTGGTCAAGGACTCATATACCAATTCTCAAAATAAACCACCCAAAGGTACCTCTTCCTACCTATATTACAAATTCAGCTTTGATTTTATTAGCCATTGAAGCTATGACTGCTGGGACAATATTAGTTAGTGGTGGAATGTGTATGTACTTGCAGGTTAGAAAGGGTTTTTGAGAGGGGAGAGAATAGTACCTGCCAATAGAAAAAAACTCTATTATTAATATTTAAGCAATAAGCAAAATGCACATGTGGGTATAAGGATGCTCATGATACCAGACTTTGTGATGCTGAACTCTGTAATATTTATCACACACCTGTTTAAATTAACTTCTGGAGTCTTGAAGCTTAGCTGGGGGTGGTAGGAATATGTTTTAAAGAGACAGAAGAATGAAGGCTTTCTCTGCTTTCCCTCCTACTTCTTTCAGCCTATGTCAGCTGCATTCACACTGTGGGGCCTCGGTACAATGGGAAGAAATAGTGCAAGGCCCCAGCTCTAGTGCTTGATGTTCCTGTGCAGAGTCCTGAATTGGAGCTTGGCTCTTATACCTTAATAACCACAAGCCCTTCTCCCTGACCATGACAGCTGTCTTGCTAGTAACTTCAGACAGATATGGGTCAATGGAGAGACAATGCTCCTCTTCCTGCATAGCTGTCCCAGGCCACTCTAATTCTTTGGATTGTAATTTCATACATAGTATAAACATCACAGAGACTCCACCATGGGATCCTAGGGCTTCTTAGTTTTTGACAATCCAACTCTGAGAAAGAAAAATGATAAAGTAGAAGGCGAATTCTTAAACAAGACATCTGGCCAGATATGTTTAGCAATTATCTCAAGCCTTTCCACAGGATCCTTGATAACACTTCTGAAAACTCTAATTTGGGTTTGACCTTAGGTAATAAATCAATGGTTTACGAAAAGGTTGTGATTTCTCCCAATAGGTAGGAGACTCTAATCTAGCAATATAATTCCAAAATTAACTAAGTACATACCTCTAATCGTGAAATAGGTTGTGGGCCAAAGCTCTCTTCTTCCACTGAAGTATCTGCATTTGCTTCAAGCTGCATTTGCATAGCCATTACTTCACAATCAATACTGAAAAATAGAGATGGCCAGAAAAAGTACAGAGCTGCAAACTTCATTTTGAAATAAATCTCTGAAGAATTTCTCGTTAGTCTTTTGGTCTAATCACTGACCTACCTTTCCTTCCTACTGCAGGAAAAAGAACATATCTCACCAGCTTTCCTTTCCACCCACCTAGTTCTACCAGAAATAGTTTAGGAAGAGTCAGGACTAGTCTGCTTCTTAAAGATGCACAGCTTAACTAGACCAACTATGTCCCCAGTTCCCCTGCTTCATATTCCTTGAGAGTAGGGGCCAAGTCTTATTTATTTATGTACACCCTGATACATTAAATATTAGTTGTTTGGTAAGTATTTGGTAAATGAATGCAGACTTTCCGAGACTCTACTTAAAATTAAAAAAAAAAAAATTGGGGGCGCCTGGGTGGCTCAGTCGGTTAAGCGTCTGCCTTCAGCTCAGGTCATGATCCTGGGATCCTGGGGTCCTGGAATCGAGCCCCAAGTCGGGCTCCCTAACGGGAGCCTGCTTCTCCCTCTCTCCCCACTTGTGCTTTCATTATCTCTGACTCTCTCTCTCAAATAAATAAAATCTTTAAAATAAATAAATGGGGGCGCCTGGATGGCTCAGTCGTTAAGCGTCTGTCTTCAGCTCAGGTCATGATCCCAGGGCCCTGGGATGGAGCCCCGCATCGGGCTCCCTGCTCTGCGGGAAGTCTGCTTCTCCCTCTCCCACTTCCCCTGCTTGTGTTCCCTCTCTCCGTGTGTCTCTGTCAAATAAATAAATAAAATCTTTAAAAAAAAAAAGATTTTATTTATTTAGGGATACCTGGTTGGCTCAGTCGGTTAAGCATCTGCCTTTGGCTCAGGTCATGACCCCGGGGTCCTGGGATTGAGTCCCACATCAGGCTCCTTGCTCAGTGGGGAGCCTGCTTCTCCCTCTGCCTGCCTCTCCCTCAGCTTGTGCTCGCTCTCTTCCCCCCATCTCTCTCTGGAGAATAATTAAATAAAATCTTAAAAAAAAAAAAAAGGGATTTTATTTATTTATTTCACAGAGAGAGAGTGAGTGATAGAGCGAGCACATGCAGGGGGAGCGGCAGGCAGAAGGAGAGAGAGAAGCAGGCTCCCCATGGAGCAGGGAGCCTGATGTAGGGCTCGATCCCAGGACCCCAGGATCATGACCTGAGCCAAAGGCAGACGCTTAACCGACTGAGCCACCCAGCACCCTGGTCCCAAGAATTCTTCACTCAGCCTCCCCGAGTGTTAACGTCTTACTTAACAACAGTATCAGTATCAGAAAACTGTCAGCGATACAGCCCAGAGTTTGTTCAGATTTCTCTAGTTATAAATGCACTCATCTCATTTGTATATATGTGTATAGTTCTATGCAATTTTATCACATCTGTAGCTTCATGTAACTACCACCACAATCAAGATATAGAACTATACCATCACAAGTCAATAAGCAGTAAATGTAAAAATTATAGAGATATCATCTAACATTTACTAAATGTTTCTTGTGTACCTGGCATTGTGCTATGCATATATATGTACCATTTCATTTAATTCCAATAACCTATAAGGTAGGAAGTCTTTTTATCCTCACCATGAAGACAATAAAACTGAAGCACAGAGATACTAAGTAATTTGCACATATTCCTGAATGCATACTATTTTGCACCCTAAATAAAAGAAAACTTAAATGATTAAATATTTGGGGAAACAACAAGAAACAAATCTAACCTTGCAATAATTTAGGACAGCAATGTTTTCAAAAGTTCAAAAACTATAGGTTTCCATAAAGTCCAAAAGTTTAGTGTGCACTACTGTGCACCACCATGCATTGATACTATAACACAGTATTCAAACATGGAGTGTTTTATCAGATTTTTCCACTTTGTGTTAAAGTAAGCAGAGGATGCTTACTCTCTCTCTGAATGCAGTATTAAACAGAAATTCAATTATTTCATTGGCAGATAATTTTAGTATAAGTAAGGTTCCTCCCGGCAGCAGTCTTACTTCTTCAATGTGGATAGTTCTCTTATCTCTTAATCATATCTAACACATAAATTCTACCCAAATACTTTAGTTTTGTTCTGTGACTTGGATGCTTTGCTAACTGCAGTTTACAGAAGATGAAAAGGGATTACTATACCTTGAAGTAATTTGTCAAGTTCTTTTGAGCCAGTAGTAATCTGTATGATCTCTGACCGCCTTTGGTGGAACTCAGTTGCAGTAGTGAAACCCATTGGAACTAATTTAGCTGCCTCAGTCTGGGAAAAATAAGAAATGTCAAATCAACAAAATATGATTATTAGTAAAACAAGAATCAGACATACTGCAGGAAGAGACAAATTCTAACAAAATTTCCAGAGTGCTTTCTCTTTAAAAAGTCATCAAAAGGAACGCCGGGGTGGCTCAGTCGGTTAAACGTCTGCCTTCGGCTCAGGTTATGATCCCAGGGTCCTTGGATCGAGTCCTGCATCGGGCTCCTTGCTCAGCAGGGAACCTGCTTCTTCCTCTGCCTGCCACTACCCCTGCTTGTGCTCACTCCCTCTCTGACAAATAAATAAAATCTTAAAAAAATAATAAATAAAAAGTCATCAATATACTAATAGTTTTAGTTCTGGGATTATTTTATCTCTCTGGAAACTAAAGGATAAGCTAGAGACTCCATGAAATTAATTTTTTAATTGTTAATTCAAGTAATACATCCACATAGTAAATAAAAAAAAACCTATTATAGACCCACACATACGTACTTCGCCTGACTTATGACAAATGTGATGATACAGTATGAAGTCTAACAAAATATTTAAATTCTCATTTCCTGTTCCATCAACCAGACTGTATCTCTTAACCTCCTACTTTGTTAAATGAGGACATCTGTCCTTTAATCTCTTTTCCCTCCATGTCTACCTTCCCCATCTCTGTCAGCTGTACCTTTTCTTTTACACTGTCAAGGTTGAAAACATTTATATCCCATTTTTCAGTTATTGATAAGTTTTCAATAATCAGTCTACCAATTAATTCTAAAATTTAAAAATAAGTGCATTCAGGAGTGCCTGGATAGTGCAGTTGGTTAAGCATCCAACCCTTGGTTTCAGCTCAGGTCATGATCTCAAGGTACTGGGATTGAGCCCTGCTTCAGACTCCGTACTCAGCACGGAGTCTGCCTGAGATTCTTTCTCCCTCTCCTTCTGCACCTCCTGCTCATACTCACGTGTTTTCTCTAAAATAAATGAAAGATACTAGAAAAAGCACACTAAACAAACTAAGCAGAAGGAAGGAAGGAAGATTAGAGTAGAAACTAATAACACAGAGACTAGAAATAGAGAAAAATCAATGAAACCAGGAGTTGGTTCTTTGAAAATCAGCAAAACTGATAAACCTTTAGCTAGATCAAGAAAAAAAAAGACTCAAATCACAAATCAGGAACAAAAGGACATTACTATCAACCTTACAAAAACAGAATTC